CTACAAAGTTGAATATAACTTTTACACTTGGTATTTATTATTATTATTGTCTAATGTATTTGTTTGTTTGTTTTTTCCTGTTATATTGTAATTATAATTTTGTAATTTAGTTGTAATTTTAATTTCATTTTATGCTAATTATTTTTATATTTAATATATTATATATTATTTTATTATTTTATTTTATTAAATATGAACTATTATATATTTTATATTGTATTTATTATTATATTAATATTGGATTTATTTATTTATTTACATGTATTAATTAGATATTTTATATTATATCTATATTATTACATTATATATGGTATATCCATATATTAGTATTATCATTATTATGTTGTTGTTTAATTATATTATTAAAGATTGTTTATGTCTTGTCTCCATACTATTGATACAGTTTTTTTATTAAATTGTTATTATATTTTATATTATATCATTATATTAATATTGTACTTATTTATTGCATAATATATTTATTTATTAATTATATATTTTATATTTATATTATTACATTATAATATATTATTATATATTTTTATTAATTTGTTTAATTATATTATTAAACATATTGTTCATGTCTTGTCTCTATACTATTGAAACAGTGAGGGACAAATGGAAATTAATTTTTGTGGTAATCAACATTATGCCACAAGTGCCATTATGCCTCAGGTGAGATCGACTTATACTAAATATTTATTTAAGTTTAAAAAATATTCAAAAAGACAAATATGCTAAAAGTGAAAAAAAAAAAAACAAAAAAAAAAACATGCATTGGACCAAACAAATGGGAGAGAAATTGAATTATTGTCACATAAAATTTCAGTTTAGCTACAATAAGAGCCCATTCATAATGGCAAAAATGGTCCTTTTAGCGGAGCTAAACAATCAGGCCCACTCAAAAGCTGCTTCTGGATTTTTGATCATTATTTATATTCCTGACCTTCTAAGATGCTGTTGTTGTGCTGAACTCATTGGCCAGAACAGCAGGCCTGAAAGCAGTACAACTTCCTGTGGGCCGGGAGAACGGGGTGGCCGAAGCGATCGAGTGTTGAGAATAACAGGAAAAGAATGAAGTAAACTTCTTAAGACTGAGCTTTCCAGCACCGTGACCTCAGACCGTCTGGCTTGAGACTCAGGTTCACACTGAACCTTTGATATGGACGCAAGGCCAATTTCACCGCTCTTTTCAACATCTTATTGTTCAACTCTTAGGACAGAAGGCAGTTCGTAACCCTTAAAATATGTTCAGTAACCAAACATTATTTGTTATAATTGGCTCAGAGCCTGAACTATGTTGCAACAGTCATAATAAACATTTTATGGCCTAAAATTGTAATTTATCAGAAACTGGAAAACTGTCAAGTCAGTTGATATTGTGATTCAAAATGATCATGCTCTCTGCCTCAGTAAACAACATGCAACAAGCTCATTTGCATTTGTTCCAAGTAATTCCACTTACTTTCCATTCAGATCAGGCAAAATCATATCTCAACAGATCATAGTCTAATTTCACAACGAAACACAGCGTCACACACGGTGGGCTTGAGTGAGCGGCGGCTGGCGGGCTTAAGAACAGCGCGGCTGGTGGATTCGAAGAAGGATGCATTATGCAAATCTTCCCACATAGTGACGTAGACATGTGGGGCCGTGTTAGAACGAGCTGTTTTAGGTTGGCGTGGTTGACTCTTTTATAAGGAATATCTCTTTGGATTTGAGACGTTAGTCTTTGCAACTTTACAGATCTTCTTTATGCACCAACAGCTTGTAACACTCCAAAGAGAAAGGAAAAATTGAAATCGCATCATATGACCCCTTTAAGGAACCCTTGTGAAAACGATGCACACTTAAGCATAATTTAATAAAGAGCCTTTATTACAGAAATAATATACTTTAAAAGACTCTACTTTGGTGTGAACTGCTTTCAGACTGCATGTTAACTACAATTAAATGAAAATGTATTTGTTGAAATTTATATTAAATGCAATTAGTTGAGCTAAGAGTGATTTTGTGACCCACTTAAGTAGGACTTAAGTACATCAGTCATTTCAGAATTACTTCTGTTGTCTTTGAAATACTATTCATGTGTACTGTTGAATGTATGGAGGCCTGTTTTTGCAACTGAATAAAAAAGGGTAATTGCGACTTTTTATCTCACAATTCTGACTTTTTTTTCTCAGAATTGTGAGATATAAACTCGCAATTGTGAGTTATAAAGTCCAATTCTGAGGGAAGTAATTATTTTCTTACAATTGCAAACTTATATCTCACAATTCTGACTTTAAATCTCAATTGCATGTTATAAAGTCAGGATTGTGAGATATAAACTCGTAATTCTGAGAAATAAGTCAGAATTGTGACTTTATTTCTCAGAATTATGAGTTTATATCTCACAGTTGTGACTATTTCTCAGAATTGCAAATTTATGTCACGCAATTCTGACTTTGTAACTCGCAATTGTGAGTTTATATCATGCTATTCTATGAAAAAAGTCTGAATTGCGAGAAAAAAAGTCCGAATTGTTAGACAAAAAGTCACAATTACCGTTTTGTTTTTTTTATTATTCAGTGGCAGAACGGAGCTTCCATACGAATGTACTTACAAACATTTATGGTGAATTAAAATATACTTTAATGTCATTTCTAGTGAAACTTATATGTCATGTATTTAAATATATTAATAATTACACATTTGTAATGATGACTTTTATGATGACTAGATTTAAAATATATTAACTTTAAATGTCATATAAAAAACAGTTATAATGAATATCAAGTACTTTACATGTGCTTTACTACATTAGTCAACACATCAAAATAAGTGTATAAATGACAAAAGACTTAATGGTTTAAAATGTACTTTAAAATAAAACTTTGAATTTGACATTAATACAAAAGGTACTTTTTAAAAGTGTACTTAAGTGTGTTAAGAAACAGTCATGAAAGTGATCTCTCATTAAGTTTCATTTAATTAATATTATATTATCTGTAAGTACATTTTTTTAAAGATTTGAAGTACACAACAAGTGCACATTCAATTCAATAAAGACCACTTCTTTTTCACAAAGCAATAGGTCCCCCCCCCACCAAAAAAAAACAACATTCATTTACTTAGCTGTCCTATACTTTTATTGTCCTTGTGAGAAATATGAGGGAAACATGAGAGGATCACGTTATCAAATCTATAAATCAATCTGTTTATTTTTAATAGGCTGGATCTTTTTAAGAAATTAGTTTAAAGGGGTCCTATTATGCTCTTTGAGCACGATTTAAACCTGGATGATTGTAATCACTCTAAGTTCGTCTGCCTTGGGAAAGCTAGCATGTCTCCGACATAGTGATAATACTCGTTGCCTTCTCTAGTGCAGCTCAACCAGGTCTCGTCCCATTCGTCGATCTTTGTGATATCACAAATCCCGGAAAATATGCGTTGTAGTTCAAACGAGTTGTTCGTTGTAGTTTTTGAAAAGTGATTTCTATTAAATAAAATATCTTCTAAATTGGACTTTGAGCTTTTTAACTTTGCAGATCTTTTTTTATACTCAAACAGCAACATTACAGACTAACTAAAGTTGAAAAAGTGAAAAAGCTTAATAGGACCCCTTTAAGTTGATTTGTTTAAGACTTGGACTGATTCAGTTTTTCTTAACTCACTCAACTCGACTCAATGATGCAAATTTGAGACTGTTCATCAAACAAAGTTTATCATATGACTTTAGAAAGCTAGGAAAATATTGCACACATCATATGACCTGACTTTATGATGCTTCTGAGGTGCTTTTGTGTGCTTTTTGAAGCTCAATGCAATTGCATGGGAAAGACTGAACAAAACAATGCAATGCAATATACAGATGCATAATTGTGTCTGTATATTGCCTACGTAGTCTGTTACAGACTGTATAGTCTGTAATGTAGTACTCATTTAGTCCTTTAAATATTGATAAATTGCTAAAGCGTTTATTACAGACCTAATATGCATTTTATTTTCTTCTTAATTTTGTCGCATCAGCTCTAATAAAAGCTTCATGTCAGTAAGTAAAAAGTGATAAAAGAGAAAAAACAATAATGCATTCATATGAATTTATTCCAATCATAAAATAATTCTGACTTTAAAGAGTAAGTATAAACTTCTCAGGAAGAGTCGGACACACAAAATGAGGATATCTCATTAAATTAGCGAATAAAAAAAGTGTAACTGGCTTTTCAAAGCTGATCTAGAGTCCTCAATCTGGTGTTTGAATGAGCTATTTGGACACTTAAAGCACAGTTCAAATGTATTAAATATGTTATTCGTTATACACCAATATATAAACGTAGGCATCTCAAAACAAACTTTTTGACACTTACTTACTACACTTAGAAAATAAAAGGCATCAGAAAATAAGAGGTACAAAATCTGTCACTGGGGTGGTACTCTTTTAAAAGGAACTAATATGTACACTTTAGGCATTTGTACTTTTAAGGAAGTAATATGCATCTTTTAGGAGTAAATAAGGTACAAAACCACCCCAGTGACAGCTTTTGTAGTTTTTTTGTCTGAGAGTGACAAGATCCACTAAAAGTTGATATGTGTCCAGATACTTTTTGTATTCATTTCGAATTATATTTGTTTGTCATTTACAACTTTTTGATGACATTTTAGATAGAAATGTGTGCTTGTAATAGAATTTATTTATGAAATGCAACAATATTCATACATTTTAATAGTGTAATATTGTCTTAATATTTTTAGGATCACTGTACGTAGCAGGAAATATAACCGGTAAGTGAAACATAATAATATTGTAGATTTGGCAAAAATAGGCGTATTGACATAGGCTACTATTTCAAGAATTTTTAATTGAACACAATGACAAGAACAACATAAGTTCGCTCTTTCTTTGCGGGCAAGACAACATCAACAGTTAACAGCAAGAAGTGCTCGCATGAACTGTTTGTGTTTTATCTTAACAATCAATCATCATACTAATATTATGCAAAATAAAGAACTCATCTTACCCGAAGAATGACAAAGATCAGAAGCGCCGTGCCTTTACATACAGTTTTGACAGAAATACTCCCCATCTTCATTCATGGATCACAATATTCCCGAGCAGCCGATCTTCAAATCATCTTCAGATAAGTTCCCCCGCGGCTTTTCTCAACGATGAGCTTCTCTTCTTACTCTTTAGACCGCGTCGAGCGCTGATGTGGGAGATGTGTGAGCTCTTGAGAAGGTGGAGTTGACTGACCAGCAGTGTCACCAGCAGAGTTATGTTGTTGTTAATGTGAAAAGTGTTAATGTTCCGCCTCTGCTGAACGGAAACTCAACAATTCACAACATACGGCGGTAAAGTTAGTTTGACGTTTGACAGACATTACCATTTTATGTGTTTTATATGGTGACCCAGTAGTGCACAACACAGCGCAATTAAAAAAGCAAACATAAGCTCACAACACAACACAATTCAAAAAGCAAACATAAGCTCACAACACAACGACATTAAGCTCACAACACAAACGACATTAAGCCACAACGACATTAAGCCACAACACAACCACATTAAGCTCACAACACAATCACATTAAGCTCACAACACAATGACATTAAGCCACAAGACAACGACATTAAGCCACAACACAACGACATTAAGCTCACA